AGGAATGCCAGTGTGTGGCCAGGCAGGGGCCACAGACAATGCAGAGATGGAGCTTGTCGCTCACAGCTCTGTGCCTGCTGGGAGGGCCATGCTGACACACCGGGGCCCACCAGGGGCAGGAGATGCTGTGCTAACATGTCCTCTTCCATTGCTGCCCTTTGTCTCTGTCTGGGGTAGGGTTTAGGTCACAGGTGTTCCGGAGGGGTGGGGACCTGAGTGAGTGTGAGATCTGGGCCCCCAGGCCAGGGTTTGCAAGGGACACGGGAGGGGAGGGAGGAGGTGTGGCACAGGAGACCTTTCTGAAAGGACAGTTTGCAAACCTGGAGAGTTTGTAAACCTGGAGAGGAGAGAGGTGGGTGTGGGAAGAGAAAGGCTGGAGCAAGGGGCTTGGGGCTGGGGAGGAAGGCGCCCGCCCGCTGGCGTCTGGCCCCAGCCTTTCTTCCAGTAGGGAGCGGAGGCTAGAGCACTGGTGTCCAAGTGTAAGACACGCACAGAGGGGAAGGAGCCAGGCTTCCCGGGCGCTGCCCTGTCACGTGGCCGGCTCTGCACTGAGGGTACTGACAGCCCCGTCCATGCCCACAGGCGTTCAGAGGGTGGGTTGGCCAGAGCGTGCCCTGTGAGGGGAGCAGCAGAATCCACGCGGGGCAGGCGGGAGGAGGTCAGCGTGGATACGGTGGGCTTGTAAAGAGCTTGAAGCCCTCCTGAGAAGCGAGGTGGCACGTAGGCCATGGGATGGGGGATTTTAAGTGGGATCCCCAAAGCTCCACTCCTGAAGGGAAGTAACTGACAGCTCAGCTCCCGAGACTCAGGCTGGAACACATTCCGACCAAACTCAGGCTGTTTCCACAAGCGGTTCAAACTCGTGAAAAAAACAAGGGGAAGACAACTGTCGCTTATGAAGCCACCCTGCCAAAACAGGCTCTGGGAAGAGTCCTCATAAGCCTGCTCCCCAGATCCAAATGCCCACAGAACACCAGAGGCCAAGGTGCCACAACCTGGCCCCCATTTTAGAGATTAGGAAACAGGGCGCTGGGCAGGAAGAGGACCTGGACCAGTTCTTAGACACCCCTGCACCAGACCCAGCTCAGCCAGTGCCCGTGTCGTATCCACCTGAGCAGGTCATTGCGTGAGGACAGAAGCCGCGTAGTCTTAGAACGCCAGTCTCTGTGGTCCTCCGTTTCCTCGCCTTAGAACAGGCATGGGCTAGGTCAGTTCTAGCCAGGTCCTGGGGAGTGGACTGTGAATCATGCAGGTCCCCAGCCTTCCAGGACACCTGTGACCTAAACACTACCCCACTACACTGACTTGGGCTCCGTCCAAATCAGAATGTGTTCAAGCACTCTGAGTAAGCCAAACGCTCTCTAGAATCTTCCAGAACCAGCTTGTCATGAGCTTTGCCTACTCCCCACCCCTGGCCCCGACTACCACAAAAAGTCTCCCTTCAGGGAAAACGGCCCCTGCCCAGGCTGAGCTCCCCCCATTGGCCTGTCCCAGTCTTCCCTTCCCAGTGCAGGCCAGAGCGCGGGCTCTGGCCTGCACTTCCATCCTAACAGGCTGTAGGCTGGGAGTCCTCGGTGTGAAAGTCTGCCCTTCCTTATCCCGGACAGCTGGCAAAGGAGTCACACCCCAGACAGCCTCCAGGCACCTTGGCCCCTCGTGGCTAGAGTTCTGGGAAGCTCTTGACAGCTCTGAGCCTCATCTTACCCTGTGTCCCCCTGAGGAAATTACCCCAGGCAGGATGAATCAAGCTCACACGGTTCTCCCAGATTTCTCTCCCTCAGCCCTGGAACACGGGAACCGAAGGCTGGTTCAGCTCTGTGCAGAGAGTTTAAGCAACTTGCCCTGAAGTCACACAGACTTAGTGGTGGTTGTGCACTGAAGCACGGGCTCCGGACAGCCCCCTGCACTGCCGCCCTACCGTGCCCTGCTCCTGAATAACAGCCTTCTAGGTCATTGAAATAGCCTATTTACCCGCCCACCGCAGGTGCCCACTGGGACACGACAGGCACCTTGCTTGGTCCAATTGCCACTGAGATGGGGTTTATTTTGGACGCTATAACAGGAAGTTTGGAAGACTTGTATAGTAAGTTAAGGGTACTTGTAGTAAGCCCTTGGCATCTGAAGATTTACCATGCGCACTGTCCATTGCTTGAGAGTGACCCTAAGGGTCAATACTACTAATTATGCGCTATAGTGATTTTCTTTTTTAAACCTACTTCATAAGGTTGTGGTGAGGATTAAATGGGATGATGTGCTTAAAGCCCTGCTCAGCTGATTCTGAGCTGAGTCCTTGGTCAGGCCCTGCTGAGGACGCGAGCCACACAGCCAGCGAGTGAGCCTAGCCGGTTGCGGGGCACAGGGTCTCCTAGTGCCTCCGTAGAGTCCTGAGAGGTACCTCTTGGGAGTGTGAAGTAGCACCACCACAGGGGTACCAACGGCACTGTGCACCCCACCCTTACACTTTCACACAGGACACAGTGCTGTGGTGAAAACAGAGGCATGCCCAGCTGGAGGCTGAGAGGAGCGTGGGCGGCCAGACGCTTCACACTCCAGACAGCCTTTGTGCTGGCCAAGAACATGGCTGCAGTGTGGTCCTACTTCCCAGGCCTGATTTCCAGCCTCAGCTCTGCCATTCCCCGCTGAGTGATCTGTGCGAGTCCCCTGGCTGGGCCTCGCCCACCTGCAGTATGAAGGATCTGCCCAGCCATTGCCTCTCACCCTGCGCTCCACAGACCAGCAGCAGCGGCAGCTGACAACTGCAAAAGGCCCAGGCTTTGCCCTCCTCCCCCTAGCCCAGGCCTACTGAACGGCAGTGTCTGGGAGTGGGCCCAGCACCGCATCCTCAAACCCTGACAGGGTTCCAGGACCCCGTGCCCCTGGAGACCTACCAACCTGCATGCTCTCTGAGGCCCCTTCCCACTCAAAACTCCAATCATCTGGATGGAATCTGGGTTAGATGCCGCAAGGGCAAAGTGCTGGTGAGGGTGGGCTATCACAGCGCTACTGAGCAGCCTGGGGACTGGCAGGGTGTGGGAGAGACAGAGCCAGGGGATGTGCAAGAGGCGAGCACTGCAGTACCCCTTCCCATCTCCCTCCCATCTCCCGCCCTCCTGCTCACCTCCCTACCCACCTCCCAGGGCCCTCGGGCCCTCTGAGGCACACAGGTGGGAGGACTGCATCCGTCTTCTGTCCTCCTCCCCCGTCCCTGGTCCCTGCCAGCATTCACAGGAACATCCTTTTCTCTCCCGCTCTGCCCCTGGGGAAGTTTTGAAAACGAGAGCCAGTGAGACCTCTAGTGGCCGGGGGATGCCACAAGCTCACGACCTGCTTCTGCTGTGCGGGGTTCTGTTGAGTGTGGCTGAAATCTGACCATTTTAGGGAGGACACCTGGCTCCACATCTGCTCTGAGCTCAAAGCTGAGCCTAGAATTACAGGCAGACATTCTACCCAAGCTGCATCTGCAGAGAAAAGCGGCAATGGGGGACTAGGAGCATAAATTCCCGGCCTGCCTGGCCTGGGTGGGAAAGGCCACAGAACGATGGCAACAGGAATTCTTTCATTCTTTTTAAAGAGAGAGAGATTTTTGCTATAGGGCGCATGTGCTCACCAGAGAGACAGAGAGCGAGAAATCATCCCCTGCGGGGATGACCATGCCGCAATTCCTTCTTCATTCTCCTCTCGGGATCTGGGCACGCACACACACACACATGCACCTGGCATGAGTTTTAAGCCAGTGGATCCAGGACTCGAACTGCAATTTACTATGTGGGAGTCCAGCAACAAAGTCATTATGCCATCTGCTGGTCCCAGGAATTCTTTTTTTTTAGGATTATTTAATTTTATGTATCCATTCATTTTATTTTAATTTGCACAGAGAGAGAGAGAGAGACACTGAGAGAGGGGGGGTGGAAAGTGAGAAAGCAAGCCACCAGGTCCGGGACTCGAACCACAGTCGACCATGTGGGATTGTTCAGTGCCTTAGCCATCATACCCCCGCCCCCCCAATAATTCTTAAGCCCTGCTTCTTCCATCTGGGCCAGGCTGAGAGGCTCCTTAAACTGCTTTACCCAGAGCTCAGTCTTTAGGAAAACAACACTGCGATGTCAGTTTTCCTTTCAAGACCATCGCACGTATCCACTACGGTTCGCACAAACCCAAACCCACATGTTCTTCATCAGCACTGGGCAAAGGGGACGGATGTCTGCCACTAGATTTCGCTCTGCGCCTAGAGGTGAAGTAACTTGACTAAGGTCACTCAGCAAGTTCGTGGTGGGTCTGCAGCTGGTGCAGGGGCGGCCAGATCCCCGATAGGAGCCCCGCCCAGCACAATACCATACTTCTGAATAACACTGCTTAAACCCTGAACATTTTTGCCCAAGATTAGACTGCATTCTTGTTGCACCTGGCTCTTTTGTAAACCCTGAAATTGTCTGCAGACAAAGGGGAGAGCCCAGGGCTTAGGATGAAAAAACCACAGCGCGGGAGACTTGAACAAGGTGTGTCTGGGCTTTGGTAGCCTCCCAGATTAGTGCCGAGGACAGATCTCAGCAGCCCAGGGCCAGGACAGGACCAGGGGTTTTGTGCGAACCACACGGATGAACCGGCAGGGAAGACCGCAGCTGGGGAGAGTGGGCACGGGATCACGATGAAATCTAGAACAGAAGTCACCCCACTGTCAGAGGGCGACAGCCGGAATGCTGACTTCTGGGACTACATCTTCCCAGCAAGTCTGTTTTCCAGCATAGGACAGGTCCTTGAAGAGCAGAAGCATCATTACTCTGAGCTTGTGTGTGAAGGGGTTCTGGGGTGCAGGCTCCAGGACATTGCCCCTTCCCTACCCCACTAATCCAGGTGAGTAGCCACACCTGTTTGACTCCGTGGCAGTAAGGCGCCTTAGGTTTCGGAGGGAGGGCAGCGGACAGTTAGGAGTGACTGCTGGTGCTCCATGTGGGGCTGACTCTGGGCTTTGCGTTGCAGGCAGGACAAGCTAAAGATCCACATGCGGAAGCACACGGGGGAGCGGCCCTACCTGTGCATTCACTGCAACGCTAAGTTCGTGCACAACTACGACCTCAAGAACCACATGCGCATCCACACGGGCGTGCGGCCCTACCAGTGCGAGTTCTGCTACAAGAGCTTCACGCGCTCCGACCACCTGCACCGCCACATCAAGCGCCAGAGCTGCCGCATGGCCCCGGCGCGGCCGCAAGCCAGCCGCCTGGAGGGCAGCCAGCCTGCTCTTCGGGCCAGGCGGCCCAGCCCCAGACAAGGCGGCCTTCGTGATGCCGCCAGCGCTGGGCGAGGTGGGCAGCCACCTGGGCGGCGCGGCCATGTGCCTCCCTGGCCCCAGCCCCGCCAAGCACTTCCTGGCGGCGCCCAAGGGCGCGCTGAACCTGCAGGAGCTGGAGCGGCAGTTTGAGGAGACGCAGATGAAGTTGTTTGGGCGCGCCCAGCTGGAGGCCGAGAGGAACGCAGGGGGCCTCCTGGCCTTCGCACTGGCGGAGAACGTGGCTGCCCCGCGGCCCTACCGCCCCCTGCCCGGCCCGGTGGC